AGGTGGTGGCGGGCGGGGTGGCCGCAGAGGGGGGGGAGCAGCCAGCTGGTGGCAGAGGGGCTCTTCAGCAGCTCTTCATCCACTGAGGTGCGTGCCGAGGAACAAACTGTGAAAGGTGACAAGAATGGGCTCGGGGCTTTCTTAGGCGCAGGAGGGGTGGGAGGGTAACAGCTATTTAACAAGATATTTTTCATTTTAAATTATATATTTATTTTAGATAAACTGTACATAGTATTTATATTTATTATAGGTCTGGCCCTGCATCCTTCATGTAGGTCAAGATGACAGGGTCAGACCTCTCTTATTTTTTAAGTGCAATGTAATATTCTAATAAATAACACTTTGTTACAAACACTCGGGTTGCTAACTTAATGATGGAGGTGCAAGGGAGTCAGACCTCTGAAGAACGCATGCAGCAACGTGCTCTTGCTAGCGGGGTATTGCAAACAGTGGCAGAGATCCTGAGCGCGTGGTGGCATTGCTGGATCAGCTTGTGCCATCCTTGCGGTGCAGCAGGGCGGTGTGGTGCAAGGGGCTGGTGGCAGGATCCTTCCTGCTGGGGCCTGCAGCCAGGCACGCCCCACCTGTCTGTCTTTGGAGATTTGCATCTTTGCCAGCTGATGCCCCTGGAGGGATGTGATGTTTGGGTGTCTGCTCATCAAGCAAAGCTGCCTCTGGTATGAGTGAAACCACTCTGTCCACTGATTAATCCAAATGGTACTGATTCCTGGGTTTAAGCCAGCATTTGGCTAAAAGTGGACTCACCTCCCTTGCAGGGGATCTCAGCGGCTCCCAGGGTGGCTGCAGGCTCCTGGGGCTGGGGTCGTTCCAGCGAGCATCATTTCAGATGGTGGTTCAGGACTGATCCCTGACTTGGCAGTAAAAAAAACACCCAAACCGCTTCTATCTTCTTCCCTGATCTCCAAGAAGAGATGAGATCAGGGTGAGATGCTGGCTCTAGTAGAAGGTCTTGAAGCGGAGAGAAGGGGCTTCTCCCCTGCGGGAAACCTGCTTTCCTCCAGCCCCTTTCCCTTCAGCAGATGTCAAACTTCAGTTTTCAAAGGAGAGTGCGAAGCTACTGCTTTCTGCTCCTGCTGCCCAGCAGTAGAGTAGTCTGCAGAGTGTTTGGGCCTAATTTAGCCAAAACTTAGCTTTGGTAAAGTGTGAAATAAGCTTTATGCTTGCTGGGGGGAGGGGTTGCTTGGGGAGTGAGTGCATAGGTTCATCCCTTTTGCACAGCCAGTAAGTTTTGAAGTAGCAAAACCTGGGGTGGGGGAAGAGGGAATACAGCAATACTTTGGCTTTTCAGTGCTTCCTGAGATAGAAGGGCTAAAATACATGGCTGCGGCAGATAGGAAGTGGGGTGGGTGACAATGGGCACCATCGTGTGAGAGTAAAAGCCCCAGCAGTTGCAGTGGCCTGAGTCCCAGAGCCAGGGAAACAAGTTACTTGCTCCACTTTGTGTGAACCTGAACCTTAATGCTGTGGGAGTGCCAGTTTAATCAGAGACTACAAACTCTGGCCTTTTGCAGTGTCTATTAAGCAACTAATGTCTGTAGCTGCTGTGCAGGAGCCCCTTCTGCTCTAGACACCTGGCTGCGTCCCTGCCTCGCTGTGCTGCTGCTGCTGCTGCTCCCCTCCCTGGAGCCGCTCCCTGCTCCAGCCCCGCCACCTTTCTGCCTTTCACGGGGGGCAGCTCTGCATGCCTGGGGCTCTATGCCACCCTGACGGGCACTGGGGATAGCTCCACTGGAAGGCTTTTTTGCAGACAACTGGAACTTCTGCCTGGAGCCCAGCTGACCTCCTCCTTCCCTGCAAGGACATGTTCTGGTCTGCATTGTTCCTCTGCAAGCCAGCAGTGCAGGCTGGGCTGCCCACAGGTGGTAATTTAACAGGCCAGCGGATGGGAAATGTATTTTGGAGATGTAGGGAGCGGGAAGCTGGCTGTATCTGTGGGCTTGCTCCCTCTGCCCCAGTGGGCTGGGAAAGGCTGACAGTCCTATGGGTGCTCCCTTCCTGGCTAAGGCAAGGATGAAGCCCCCAAGGCAGCTCCCCAGTCCATCTCTGCTTGTGGCCATGAAACAGGAGGTGCCCCAGAGCCTGGCTGGGGCATGCGGGGCTCTGCCATGGATGTCCATGCGCTACAGGGGGAGGTTGGGCTGCTCACCTAACTGTGCCTGCAGGAATGGGGTGCCAGGAAAGCAGTCTCTACCACCCTGCCCTCCCCACCAGACAGGAGAGGGCTGTTGCGGCAGCTGGCCAAGCTGAGCATTGGTGGGGTCCTCGTGAAGGCAGGCGGTGGCCTCCAGCAGCCCCAGCTCAGCAGCCTGGCCTTTCACCTCCTCCGGGCACCGACCCAGGAGCACAAACACGTCACCAGCCGCAGCATTTCCTGACTGCCACGGTGCTGAGCCCACTTGCTGCCTCTGACACTGACTCCATACTGCGACCTCTGGCATCTCTCTTCAAATCTTTTTGATGCCTGTGCCTGGCTTGTCTATGGGCGACAAAACGTGCGCCCAGCCATGAAACACCACCACCCGGTGTGTCCCCTAGCCCCCTGCCTGGGCTCACTTGGTCCTGCTGTGGGTAGGGACCATGTGCCCGGAGCAGAGCCCTGCAGCTTTTTCTCAGCCTCTTCTCCAGAGCGAGAGTCAAAGCTAGGAGACCTCAAAAATCCCAGATGTGGATTTAATAAAAATTGCAATATATTAGTCAATTTAATAACCAATTCTCCCCTGCCTGCCCCAGCACCTTGCCAGCTGTGCTTCAGCACCTTTGGCCATCACATTACAGCAGCGTTGTGATGAAGAAGGCAGCAGTGCACTGGAGCAGGGACGAGGCAGCCAGAGACACCCCAAAAGTGGCTGAATCACCCCCACTGCCTCCCTTCGGAAGCAGGTGGCGGCAGCCCTGTGCACGGCTCCATTCAGCTCATTTTCCTCCTGACTGGGATTGTTGGCTTTGCCCAACTCCTCACCCAGCCGCTAAGTTCCGAGCCTGGGATGGGCTTTGCCACAGTGAAGCATCTTCCACAGGTTTGTTGCCACTGAAGAGAGGGCAACCCAAACTCCCCAGGCACCTGCGGAGTTGGGGGCACAGCAGAAAGCCTCACGCAGGCGTGGAGCGACCCTCGCAGGCAGGGTTGCAGGCGGTGAGGACTCTGTTCCAGCCCCAGCTCTGCACTGCGTGAGTAGCAATGCTGGGGAGCAGGCGGGTGGGCAGCTGCAGTGCCTGGAAAGAGCTGTGGAAGGCACTGAAAAGGGTGGCCGCGTTCTGGGAGCTGAGAGTCCCTGAAGGTCAGATCCTGCACTCTGCTTTTTAATAGGGGTGTTGCAGCAGGTTCCCCCCCACCTGCTTCTGGCTGCAGAGAGGCACGCTGGCCACTTCAGTTTTTGCTGTCTTCACCCAAAAGGCATCTGATGGCCTCATCATGACCTCACCCCTTACCTGAGCCTCTCTGGGCAAGCTCCAAGGAAAGCTCCAGGGCTGGAAGGAGTGCAGGTGATTCATGGGCGGGCAGCAGCCCGCCGCAGGGTGCCGGGGCAGGCGGCAGCAGCAGGAGATGCAGCGATGCCACCCCATCTACGGGGAGCTCGCGGCTCCCCCCGGGCCTCTCGCCGCCCGGCTCAGTACCTCTGTGTGGCAAGCACAGC